ATATTATATTATATTATATTATATTATATTATATTATATTATATTATATTATATTATATTATATTATATTGTATTGTATTGTATTATATTATATTATCACTATATTACATAATAATATTATTTTGTATTATGCATAGTAAGATCAGTGAATGTACACGTATTTACCGTAATATCCATATTTACATGCCACTAAAAGATGAACAGCAATACATATATTATGTTGTCTTTATGTGGGCATGCAGTAATATTGTGTGAGGGCTGTCTGTGTGCGTACGCCTGCATGCATGCATGCATGCAGTTGTTGCTGCGTTTCTCGGAGGCGCCGCGGATGAAAGAGGGATCTTTGGAGGCGAAGGGGGCAGTTCATTTGCGTGGGGCCTCTGGGGTGTATGCTTACCCCGCTGCCCAAGTTAACTTAGATGCAGCGGAGGGAGGAGATAGCACCAGCGAAGGCGGCCTCGTTTGGTCCTTCTTCTTCCCCTCCAGCGCTCTCCGTTCCTTGGGGTCCACTGCCACGTTGCATCTCGACATGCATGCAGACAGCGGAGCTTCCTTCTCCTTCGAGTGGCTCAACTCGCGCACCCAGCAGCAGCAGCAGCAGCAGCAGGTGATGCTTCAAATCGAAGGAGATAACAGCGACGCGAAAAGGCCCACACCATGGAAAGGAGGGGCCCTGCCAGCCCCGCCGCCTCTAACGCCGCAGCAGCAGCAGCAACAGCAACAGCAACAGCAAAACAGCATTCATGAGTTCGAAGGGGTGGGCCTTGTGAAGCCGGAGACAGATTCAATAATCGACCCATACAACAGGTAGAAGAGCAGACGGGAGCACAGCAGCAGCTGCCACATCTCCATCAGTCTCCCCTCATTCCTCGATGTTTTTTACCTTGTTTCTCCTCTTTTTCTCCCAATTGCTTCTGTAGCTGCTTTTCCACGTGTTTCTGTCTCCCGCGGTATCTTGCTCTGGGACCTTTTGTATCCGTTTGCCTCCGTCCTTCTTTTTGTCTCGTTTTGTATTCTCCCCTGTATGGTTTGTGGCAGCGTTTCTTCATCTCGTTGTTGCTGCTGTCCTGCATCGTCCCTTAATACGTTTTGCCTTGTCTATTGCTGTTGTTCCTGCTGCTGGTGTTGTTGCTGCTGCTACAGGGCACAAACGGAGCCCGGCTCTGTTCGCCCTCTGTCCTTAGTATCCCCCAAAGTGCCAAAGGAGGAAGTGCTGGTAGAAGCAGATCCTTACAAGCAGCAGCAGCAACACCACCACGAACCCCACCACCACCACGAACCCCACCACCACCACGAAGCCCATCACCATCACCACCACGAGCAGCACCACCATCACGAGCAGCATGAGGAGCAAGAGGAAGAGCCTGTGCGCCATGATGAGCTGACCTTCCCTCCGCATGGAGAAGAAGCCGAAGTGGCGGTGGAGTGCCCAGAGGGCGAAAGATGGGATGAGGAGACAGAAACATGCATAATTGAAAAGTACGAATTTTTCTTTCCTTTTGTTTCCCTTGTCCGTCTCTTGTTTTGGCGTCGTGCTGGTCCTGTCCGCCATGCAACTTTTCCTGACCCTCCTCTCTTGTGTATGTAGCCTTCAGCCCCTCCCTTCTGTCTACTTCGTCTATCTTCTGTATCCCTTGTCTTTTGTTTCTCTCCCTGCGTACTGTTGCCTGTCATCGTTTGTCTTGCATGTTGTCCCTTCTTCTCTCGTGTCTGTCTCCGTTTGTCTCTCCGCATTTCCTTTTCTCTCTCACCCAGTCACCCCTCCTGGCCCTTCCTTCTACACACCTGTTGTTGTTGCTGGTGCGTTTGGTGCTGCTGCTGCTGCAGAAGCGAAGGCTCAAACCTGTGGCTGTTGTTTGTGGTATCTGTGCTGGCCGTTGGGGCGGTGTGGATCCTTTCCCGCGTGATACTGAGGCGGCACGGATCCAAAAAGCGCAGACAGGTTAGGGTTTATGGATTAGGGTCTATGGTTTAGGGGGGTCTGGGTATGTAACTCAGCTATTCCATGGTTAGCCATCTCGCCTCCAGTAGCACGTAGCACCAAAACAGGTGCCGTAAACGTGTATGCGTGGGCTTGCATGCACACACCTGTTGCATTATTGTGGGTGCGCATGCAGCGCGATACGGAGTTTGGGCGTTTTGATTTGTTGCGGATGGAAGGCCACGACTCGGACTATGACGACGACGTGTAGAGACAGACAGAATTTGTCTCTTTTCTGTAGCAGTTCGTTTCTCTTGGCCCCTTTTTATTTTATGCACGTGCTTTGTTACTTGGAGAGTCGCAGACCCCAGCACTGTTGCTGCTTCTCTCATGTTTTTGTGTCCCTCCCCTCAAAGTGTCTCCCGCTGACGCCGGCAGCGGCTAAGAGACTCCGAAGGTGCCGCCTCCCTTTCTGTCTCCTAATTAGGATCTTCTGTCTCTGCCTGTCTCAATCTTATAATTTTTGCTCGTCTCTTCTGCGTGTCTGTGTGCACCCGTGTACCTACAACCCTGGTATCTCCCGGGTCTCCTCCTCCCTGATCTATATATAGCTGCACCAAACGTGGCATATCAAATTTTCTTTTGTCTCCTGAGGTGCTGCGGAGCCCCTGGGCAGCCAGCAGGAAATGCCTAGGGATTGAGCCGAGGGTCTAGGGTTTAAAAGGAGGCGATGGGGAGCTCGTTGGCTTCACCGCGAGCTGTCTGTACACCTCAAACCACCATAGCACCTTTTAACCGCCTTTTTTGGCTCCCTCACGAACACGTGGCAGTTTCCACACAAACGTACGAACGAGCTGCATCAATTTATAGACATGTCTGCTTGCATGCATGCACACGGCCGCCGCGGGCTGTTGGTACGCCCTACAGTGCGGCTTGCCTGTCCGCCTGGCATGCTACGCAGCGACCAAAAAACCAAATACATGCAAATAGGAGATACTGTTTGCTGTTGCACGCGAAAGGATCACGCATCATATCTGAATGCATGCGCGAGTGCACCTCTTGGCATCGTGGGGCTTGCAATAGGCCTAGGGTTTGTAGTTAAGTATACTCCATGGTGTTGTTGGCATCTTTTCGTAAGCAGGCGTCGCCTCCGACGCCTCCAGAGTTTGTGCTGAGAGGAAAAACGCATGCAGAATGAAAAGTAGCTGATGGTTGTGCATGCATGCATGCATGCATGCATGCAGCAATGCCAGCCCGTGACGGGTCTGTGCTGTCTACACGTAGCTAGAAAACTGGGAAGCTAGGTAGCTGGGTAGTGGGTAGCTGGCCTACCTTCCAAGAAGTCTTGCACTGTCTCTCTGAGGGCCTGTATATTTCCCATATTATACCAGGCATCTATCGTCGCGCGAGGGATGCGAGCCTGCAGCAGGAGCAGCAACAGCAGCAGCTGAATCAGCGGAGACAACCAGGCAGCCAGCAGGAACAAGAGCAGAAGCGGCAGTAACGAGAGAATCACGGGAGACGGCCAAAAAACAACCGGACCCGCACTACCTAAAACAGTAGCCACAGCATTAGTTAGCAGCAGCAGCACTAGCAGCAACAGCAGAAACAGAAGCAGCAGACGTACCCGTCTGACGGCTTGAAAAGCAAGACACTGGTGCAGCGCCAAGTCCCTCCCCACTGCGGGGTCTACGTCGAACCGGATGAGCTGCTGTAGGCCGCCAGCTTTATACCCGTGCCTACAGCGGATGCACAAGCCCCACACTGTATGCATGCGTCCATGCATGAATGTATATAAGGCTGCAAAACAACCTTTCGTCAGGCAGGGACATCATAAACTGAATAAGGAGGGCTCCGCACGCTTTGAATTCCAGCGCTAGCACCAATGTCTTCGGCCCCTTCGAAGGCCTCACCTGCAATACAGCAGTCGCAAGCAAGCACACCGGGCCTAGCTGCACCCCAAAGGCGAGCTTTGCATGCAGCTGGCAGCAGAACCATGCAGGTGCATGCAGATGTATGCGCGCATTCACACTGATACGGGGCTTATTGTGTATCTGAGCTACTCCACCCCTCCTGTCTGCCCGCAGAATTGTCACCCGTGCAGCATTGTCATGCATGCATGGCGCCTTTGCATGCATGCGGATGTTGCACGCATGCAAATAGACGTGCACGCATGCAGATAGTTGTGCATGCGCATGCAATGTGTTGCGTACGGAGACCATGTCGAGGGTTCGCTCGATAATAGCGAAGTCCGCATTGCTTGGTTCTTTAATCATACTTGGCCGGATGCACCCATCTTTGTCAGTTGTTATAAACTCCTTTAGATAGCGCAACTCTAGCACGCCTGCACGAAGCCCCACACAGACACAAAAACCCGAAGCCACTTCTACAGCCACCAAATGCCATAAACCAGTCCAATCGGCAGTCTAAGGGGCCACTGAGTAGAACCCAATGGGACAGTACCACCCCTGCATGCATGTCATGCATGCACGTATGCATGCATGCATGCAAAGGCTCTGCAGACAAGAACCACGCAGAGGCAGCGCATACAAACGCACTTCCGTCCACAATGAGAGTAGCCGGGATCTTATTCTTGGCTTTGGAGGCCTTGACAGGGTCTCGTTCTAAAGGCACTGCGCGATCTGCCTGTGCGCAGCAGCAGATGTCCGTATACAGCCCAGCCCCACACACGGTCATTTACAAGCAGCATGCACGCGCCACCAGCAGTTGCATGCATGGTCCGTTTAGCATGCATACACCTCGCACAGTCAGCTGCATGCATTTTACGCAAAGCGAAACCTTGGCACGCCTTTATAGGTTTATGACACGGTAGCGCATTCAGTGGATTCAGAAAAGTATAAAGACACTGAGCATGCCCACATAGGGCCCAATGTCCCTACGTGCGCCAGCCCATGCATCCATGCAAGTTAGGGTGTACGTGCATGCATCCCTGTCACGTGCACAGGTGGCGACCCACAGAATCAAGGACATCTCGCAGTTTTACTGCGCAACTAAAGCCTCCTCGGGCAAGGGCCTTGAGGATAAGGAGAGCTGTCTCCTCAGCCAGCAGCACCGGGCCTACAATGCAGGTGGACACAACAGGCAGCCATGCTTTGGGGGCCTCTGTTCTTACATTACGCGGCCCACCCAAGTGCTGGTCGTAGGCCCCGTCCTCAGAAGCCCCTAACTTCGTCCCGCCCAGCTGTACAAGACATCCACACATACGCAAACAAGCAAACAAGCAAACAAGCAAACAAGCAAACACGCAAACACACACACACACACACACACACACACACACACACACACACACACACACACACACACACACACACACACGCATGACTTACGGTTTAGTGCTGAAGGGCGCAAGGATTTAGGGATTCGTCCCTCTGCCTACTCGAGAGAATGCCCTACGGGCAGAGTGAAGCAGACGCATGTTAAAGCTTATGGTTAAGGGTTTTGTTTACCTGGTCTTCCACTCGCCTATGTGCCTTCACGCAAATGTACTTCCCAAGAAGATCTGCTGGGATGGTCAAGGGGGTGTCAACCCCACCTTCTGCCAGAGGTAATATACTGAAAATTGTTGTATCCCCAACAGACAGACTGTCCACCCTGGGCACCCCAAAAAATGCGTGCGTGCATGCATGCATATCCCCTGAGCTTCCCATCTAACTCTCTATGGGCCGCATGCATCCTGATATATATAACCACCTGCAAACGTGCTGATATGGTCTACACCGCCTACATTAATGCTACATTAATGCAATTAATTTATATGCAGGTACACGCCGGAGTAGATACACTCGAAGACAAGGGTGGCGAACAGTGTATATATATATATATATATATATATATATATA